TGTTATAGTAGGTATGCAATTACAAAAATAAAAATTTTCATCAACACTATCTTAACACAATTTCTTTCCTACATATATATAATTAGAGTGCTTTATTTTGAAGAAAAAAAACATGATGTGGTCTCTTCATATGAGGCCCCCTTGACCATCGGGGCCCCGGGGCGGTGCCCCGGCTGCCCCGGGGTAGTTACGGCCCTGACTCCAACCCTGATTCAATGTATATTTTCTAGTATTTATAAGTCAGTTAAGGCCTTGAACATGGATCTCTAATCCAGTACTCAGTAAAAATCATTGGTGGTTTTCCATTTTGCCAGAGCAAGTAATCGAATATCTAATTTATTTATTTCTTCGAAAAAAAAAGAAAAACCACTTAAAAGAAAAAAAAAGTAAAATCACTTAAAGGTAAAAAAGAAAAAATCAGCTGAATTTACTTGCATTTAGTAAGTGGAAAAGTACCAAACTGGAAAAGTACCAAATAATTTAGTAAACACTGAAAAATTTTTTTTTTTACATCAATGGATGTGAATGGAATGAATTTTGTTCAGAGTAGAAAAAACAATGATTCCAAATTTGTCAGAAATTTTGAAATTATAAAAGGGTGTCAATAAAAATGTGTGAAAATGTAAAAATATTAGTGTAAAAAAAAATTGTTCCAAAAATCACTGAAAGGAAACGAATTATTCCCGAAATATATTTAGAATGCAATTTTAGAACTTTTTATTGCTTAAAGGATGCAGAAATAAAATTGGCATATTAAAAAAAAAGAGAAAAAATTGTGGTTCAAACACTTCTTGATTCATAATTACGATTCATTTAATAGGTTGAATGTAATTAAAATTATTTTCAAAAAATTTATTTTATTTTATCACAATAACATTTTATGATGTATAAAAAAAAAATCGAGTAATATACAAACTTTACTTTTGTTTATCTTTATTAGTTATCACATTAAACTTCACAATAAATGCAAGCAATATTATATGTTTGTCAAATTATGTTTGCCTATTACGAATATTAACCACATTATTTTATTGTTATTTATCTATCGGATGAAATAAAGAATTAAAAAAAAAAAAAACACATAACTGTTGGCAAGAAAGATTCTCATATCAAAGTAATCACCAAGCTTGGGGAAAACCAGACATCAGTATACGAAAATAAAAAATAAAAAAATCACAAAATGGAATTTAATAATTACAACCCATTCTTGCATGCCCATATCGAACAGCTTCAGTGAATTATAAAATTTAAAAAAAAATATTTGGTACCTACAAAGAAATCACCAAGTTACTATCACATGAGCAAGTGGCAGAAAAGAACCCCCCCCCCCAAAAAAAAAAANAATATCAAAAGGGGCAAAACTTCTATGATTTTTATATAAAAAAAAATTCTTAATATGCCACTGCGAGGAAGAAGCTAAATCTTGGCAATTATTTTGGTACAGTTACGATTAAGGAAATATCTTCAAATCAAGCAGGAAGATTTCCATATTGTGATTTGTGGCAGAATGATTGCTAAGTCTTTGCAACTTCCAGGCAGAAGCCGTGAGAAACTAAAAAAAAAAAAAACATCACATAAGGGGACCAATTAGAAGGGTATAACTTGTAGAACCTCTTGAGCGAAATTCGACAAATTTTTAAAAGAAATTTCACGTTTAAAATTCATTTAGCACCTTCGCAACTGTAGTTGGAGTTACAGATCATGACATGAAAATATCTCTAATCAAGCTGAAACTTACTCTGAATTCATGGATATTTCTGTATCGTCATCAGCCACGCCAATTACAATCCGCAAGGTGCCAAATTGATTTTAGACAAGTAAAATTCTTTTTTAAAAAAATGTAGAGGTTTGCCCGGGGGTACCTACTAGATATATCCCTCGAGTTGGTCCCTTACTATGATGTTTTTCTCCAGTTTCTGGGGGACCACTGCCCTGAAGTTGCAAAGACTATGTGATTATTCTGCCACAGTTCATGACAGGGAAATCTCTCCTTGTATTAATTGAATAAAGAGAGTAAATATTTAGATGCAAACATTATCTTTGCCTCAGTTTACTTACTTGTTCCGCACCAAACGGAGTAATATTTGCCTTGACTGTTCCTGTCCCAATCGCTGCTATAATCAATATTGCCATAACAGTCCAACTACAATTTTCGGAATATAATTTAACTTCAGGTTCATCATCAGGCGTAATAGGAAGAAAACAATCAGTACACAAGTTACACAGTTGGGGCATAAATGGAAGAAACCAATAAGCAACAGAAAAAAGAATAAAAGCAAAAAATATGGTTTTATAACGGCCCAAATAAGCGTCGGAGAGCCAACCTCCTAATAACGAAGACAGATAAGATGTGCCCGTAAATATTAACAAAGCATTAATTGCATTATAATACATCCAGTTGAAATCACTTTGTGTTAAAAAAAGATATAAGTTACCAGTCAAAGAATAAAATGCGATTCTTTCCATAAGAACCAAAATCAACACAACAACACCAGAAATCAAATGTTTAGGAGTGTTAATAGCTGAAGAACTTGCATAGAGAACTGGTTCTCTGCTTTCATATATATCATTGCTGGAATAATTATTATAATTAGGATTTGAATTAATTGAAGTTAATAAAGGTTCTCTTTCGTTATTAGCCATTTTTCTGTAACAGAAGAAATGAATGATAATGCACCATGAGTTGTAAAACTTTCTGTTTTTTTTTACGGAGTGTCTATTGCACCGATTA